TTCAATTCTTCAGATAGAAAAGCTCTGTCATAGCACATTTCATCCAAAATTAATTTATTATGTATGCCACAAAATATCACACCATTAGGCTTTGGCATGGAAGGAAAATCATCAAGACTCTTTCCATTTCCTTGAAAAATTTTCTCAATTTCAGCAAGAGCATTATTCTTGATTTCCTCATCACTCATATGAAAATCTACAATAAATAGTCAATTATAAGAGTCACTACATGAAATGAGTATAGGATAAGAGATTTTATTATTTTGTAAAATAAGAAAGAAAAATAAAATTATAAATTGAGCAGCAAAGAAAAAAAAAATACCTTGTCTTCCAATGACTTGTCTTTGACGATAAAGTATGTCATCAGACAAATATTTCCAGCAACTATCCCAAACATGCTCAGGTCTACACATGTTCTTAGAGTACAATAAGACGCAAAAAGCTGTCGAAGGCAATGTGCAGTTTGTCCCCACAAATGAGCTTCATTTATAGCATCAATGTACTCCTTGTCATCATCCAACCATCCCAAAGCATAACATGCTTCTTTAAAGTTAGGAAACACAATACCATTTATTGTTCTAATATCTTCATAACTTCTGCATCCCCTCTGAATATTCAATAAAATCCTCAAATAATATTCTTCTCCAATACCAGGAGGCACATTAGCTATTCTTCCAATGGCAAAGCCCTTTTTCCTCTTGGTCCACTCATGTGTTTGTTCATTGTAGACAAATTGTGTGGGAAATTTAGCATAAATAAGTTCCCTTGCAAAATCAAATTTTCTACTTGCTTCCAGCCAAGCCTCAAACATTGTTCTTTTAGAATCAACTTTATTCAAAACTTCCTCAATGTCATCGTTATCTTTGTAAATGACATACTTCTTATCTTCCAAGTGGAAAGATAATCTTTGCACAGATGGAGACCTATAATGAATTGGAAATCCAAAAATCCTCCAAGCTGCTTCACATGCAGAAACATACCTACATTTAAATCAAAATCATTTTAATATACTGATGATTGTTATAAACTAAGATAAATTTTAATATACCTACATTTAAATAAACTAATGATTGTTGCAAAAATAAAAGTAGGCTAAACAATATCTCTACAAGTTCTGAACTTGGATCACCTTCTAGAAATATATTTCAAAATGGCCATACTTTTGTAATTTCCAACCAGAAAGATTCAAAAATTGAAAAAGAGATCTGACCTTTTCATAATTCTAAAGAAATATATAGGAGAAATGGAAAGCTTTTTTGAGGTAATAACCTTTTTTTTTTTTTTTCTCTTCTACATTCTATTGCAGCTTGATATTTAAAATTTTAAGACTCAGTGTAAAATTATTTAAATAATTAATTTTTTTTATAAACTTGCAAGTTGCAATTGAAAGGAAAAAAGGTAACGCCAGTGGATAACATAAACTTTGATCTAATCCAAATAATATAGCCTAGCTAATAAAATCCAAGGATATTTATGCTATCAACCTGTGATAATACATTACGCATGTGAAGAACACTTAATGTCTAATCTTACCTTTTTCAAGACATAATTTTCATTAACTATGAAGATTACATACCTTTTTGGAGACCAATCACACTACATATGATCTGATGCTTGAAGTTTGAATACACACTACCATTTACTGTTCTAATATAGATAATTTTAAAATCATTTTAATAGACAACCATTAAAACAATCATCGAAAAAAAGGAAAAGCATTTGGAGAACAATGATATGTACTCACCTACAATCATAATATCTCTGGATTTCATCTAAAGAAGCTGATCCACTCCCTCTAGGATGACTGAGTATAGCTGTTACCCGATTGTTACCTTTGTGAATATATTTGAAAAGGTACTTAATAGCACTGGTTTGACATGTATACTCCACATTTATGTGAGCTTTGTACTTCAGAAGAAGCTTTGCATTATAAGGAACGGCATATCGATTATCCAGCTCAACACCCTTCTTCTTCACTGTTCTACCATTATCCTTCCTCCTATAATGAGGGAAACCTTCTTCATCTATTGTGGTTCTAGAGCAAAATCCTCTGGGAAAGTGTTTTGTGCAATTCTTACCACCTTTCATGCAAGGCGATTTAGGATTTGCTCTTCCACACATCATGCAAGCCTTAACAACATCATACAATTCTGGATCCAGTACTTCGTCAGGAATTTCTGCTGAAATAATTTTATCAAGGTCCTCTGCAGATTTTGGCTTGTCATCTGAATGTAACCATAACAATATATGCGCATGGCGAAGCCCACGTTTCTGAAATTCAATTGTGCAAGTATCTGCTCATGAAGTTAATTAACCAAATGAGAAATCTTAAAGGCCCATGACAGTTAAGTAAAAAATAAAAAGTTATGGTAGTAAATTTAACTAACATGCTAAAACTCTTCCAAAAATATGACCACTCCTCAAATCATTAAGCAAATGATCCAATTTAATCTTAAAGACCCTGCAAAGTATGTCAGGACGGTCCTCAGGTCGAAGGCCTCTTTTACTAACAAATCTCATTATTTCCGGCCATTTAGGATTGCAAGTTATTGTAATAAATAAACTTGAATAACCAGCCCAACGACAAATGGCAAATGCATCCTTGCAGTTCTCAGACATATACCTAGGACCTTTAGTGAATGAAGATGGAAGTACAATCCGCTTGCCAGTAGCAGATGCTTGTTTTTCACCTCGACTTAGAGCATCGTTCAAACCTCTATACAAATCTGCTCTTAACAAAGTTTGATTATATTTCAAAAAATTCAATCGCTCAGCTTCAATCATTGTGTAAGCATCCACCATGAATTGTTGAAACAACTTCCTTGAAGATAACAAAATTTGGGACTCTTTCTCCCTATTTTGTAGATGAAATGTAAAAAACTCTCTCATGCTTACTGTTTTCCTCCCACCACCCTCAGATGATGCCAGAAGATTGAGCATAACATCATTCCTATATCCATCTTCTCCGTAAGGAAACAATAAAGGATATTGCAAAGCAAGATAAAGAGGATGGTGTACATCAATGCGTTGCAGCAACCTAGATTGTGTTTCAATTATAATGTCCCTATCTCCAATAGAACCATCAATATCTCCAACAACCAATGCAGCCACTTCAGATGCAGATGGTAGATTGTATGTTCTTCCATCCTTGTTCCTTCGTCGAATCAGCCTCATCTTGACACCTTCAAGATTATCTTCTTTAAAACGATCCCTTGCATATCGAAAACTCTTGGCAAGTGCATTGTTTTGATCAA